ATCAAATTTCGGCTATAAAAATCGCGTGTATCGCGTTCACTCCAAATTTCTTGTTATTTAGTCGAGGCTTGAAATGCATGAACAAAGTTAATAATGATGCTACCTTACCAAAACTGAAAAAAAACCTCACAAATCGAAAAACAGAAATAAAAATGAAATAAAAAATAAAAAAATAATAAAAAAACCAATAAACAAATAGCGAATTTTGTTTAGTGGAAACAAAATACTCGTGTGCCGCCGCCACAAAATATTTTTGGTTTTTTAGTTTTTTGGCAATGGCTTTGCCATATCCATTCCATTGGATATGTGAGCCTCAAACAGTGTAGCTTCTATACACTATATACACTTTGTGTGTATAAAATGTAATTATGTCAAAATATTTTCATTTCAGTATTATTGCAAATTGTAGGTGCTCAATTGCCAGGATTTATTAGCCTAGATTATGTGGTCAAGTGACCACTTCAGTTGGTATGTTTTTGTGGACTGCGTCATAAATGAACGAGATTGAAATTGACTGATCGGAATGCTTGAGTGAGTGCAGTTTTATTTATTCGAGTTTCCATGTTTTCGAGTTTCCGAGTATCCGAGTTTCCATTTGTGGCAGTGCTTTCCCGCTTTCCTGCTACAGTTGTAAATTTTTTTATGCCACTTGAATGAAGTTCATAAAACCTCTTGGTAAGAGCAGAAACGTGTATTTTTCAATGACTTTGCACTCACTTCGATATTGACATATAAAAATAATATATATTTGTGTTATAAAATATTACTTACACGAGTATATCAAAAATAGTAAAACAGTTCGTTTGTTTAATACTTTTTTATGTGTTGTTGAATTTTTGATTATTTTAATACTTTACTCAATGGAGATATAAAAATATTCACATACTCGTATACTTGCTACTATATATTCACATCGAAAAGGAGTATTTTTTTATTAGTCCGTTCTGAAACAACGACCTGAATTTTCAAATTTACATGTTAAAAGGATCACGAGAGACCACCAACTACTAGAAGTTATAAATTCATAAGTGAATCTATTAGATGCTCGTTTAACATTTATGCTTTTAGTTAAAATAACAAATAGAAACAAAAATAGCAAATAAAATATTTAAGGAAATGCGCCTAAAAATACTCTAGAAAACAGCAAAACTTCCTACACAAACGCAAACACAAACACAAAAAGTTCTCCAGTTCTGAATGTTAAAAAAGGTTTGAGATTGCTAAACTTTGACATATATATATATATATGTATATTTTAATGAAATTAAATTTGATTTTATGTTTTTTTAAATTTTGTAGAAAAAAATCTCAAGGAATAAATAATAAAGCGCCTACGGCAAAACAACTTTGAAAATAGGAATTTTAGTCACGTGTATTAAAAAAGTTTTAAAGGAAAAAACTTTACCATACACTAAAAAGAAGTTAACTATACATTAAAAGACATATAAGAAGTAAACTAAGAATAGGTTATTGTTACGTTGGAAAGGTCCGCTTTGCACATCAAAGGACACCAAATAATGAGACCAAATAATAGCCCGTTGTGATACTATAGATAAACGTTCAACAAACGCCAGACCAGGAAGACGACAAAGAAAATAGATTTGCGAGACTATCAACTATAACGTTGAAGAAAAACACACAACTCTTCCATTTAAGTAAAAGCAAAAACAACCTAAAATCTATATAATCTATAAATCTATAAATGTGACTAGCTCTTTATTCCAAAATTACAGCTGTATCAGGCTAGTTGAAATAGATGGCGCAAAAATGTTTGGTTTTTTGTTAGCCAAAAATGGGCACAAACACACAAAGTGAAATACAATTTCCTCCTCCTATGCAGGTTATCGTAACTCTGGAAATATTATCAACAAACATTTAAGCTTAAAAAAGATGAAACCTCCTTTAATTTTGGACCACATCCATGTTGTAATCATACAATC